GCCTAGTGTAAGTGTCGAGCATGCCTGTCCGAACACACGTGACACTCGGCGTGGCCGCCGCAGGCAGCTTCCGCGGGAACCCCGACGGCAGCGTCCGCACGTCGCGACGCCCATGTCGGCACGCCTCTTGCGAGGATCGCGCCCGATTTCGGCTCTTCTTTTCCTTCCTCTTTGCCCGCGCACTCCAAAATCCAAGGCTGCAGGCGCAGCGCAGCGCGGAGTCCCCGCGACGCGCGCTGTCGCCCCGGGCGGGGTCCCAGCGACGCGCGCGGGTCGTCCGCTGCGCGAAGCAGAGAGAGCTGACTAGCTAACTGGCTGGCTGATAGCGGGCCAGTCTCTGACCGCTGGGCAGAGCGACGACGGGCGAACGAGGCGCCGGGCCCCCCGCAGCACGGAGTTCCCGCGACGCGCGCTGGTCGCCCCGAGAGGGCCCCAGCGACGCGCGCGGGTCGTCCGCGGCGCGAGGCCAAACAATTAGTCGGGCAGTCGAGAGAAGGCGCGGCTCGGGGGAGACGCTCCTCAGGTCAGGCCTCGCGGATGAACTCGGTGAAGCCGAGCTCCCTGGCGAGGGCCGTCGCTTCCCTCCTGCACCGCTTCGTGCGCGCCGCAAACTGCTCCAGCTGCTTCCGCAAGCCCTGCGGCGGCCCTGCCAGGAAAAACTCGATGCGCGGCGCCCGCATGAGCAGGAGGTCCTCGTGGCGCGTGGCGCGCGAGAGCAGCACGTAGAGCTCCAGCCACCAGTCGTCGTCCTCCTTCTTGCCGTTCCCTACCTCGTGGCGGCCGCAATCCAGGATCACGCCTGGGCGACGTCGACCGAGGGAGCAGCGCGCCGGGCAGCCGACGGCCCAGGGCGAGAGTCCACAGGACCGAGAGATGGTCTGGCCGCGGACTGCTCGCGCCCCGGAGGTCTGGCCGCCCCCGGAGCGCCGTTCCCCCGCCCCGTCGCCTTCGCGCATGGTGCGCCCCTGGCACGCCACCGTGGTGATGACCCTGCCGTGCGAGAAATGCGGGGGGTGTGCCGAAATGGGTGGGGGTGACGCATGCGGGCGGCGGCACTGAGGCCTTCGGTGGAGCTCCCTATGGAGCCACGAAACGTGTGAGGGGTGTGCCGAAATGGGTGTGGGTGACGCATGCGGCCGCGGGCACTGGGGCCTTCGGTGGAGCTCCCTATGGAGCCACGAAACGTGTGAGGGGTGTGCCGAAATGGGTGTGGGGGACGCATGCGGCCGCGGGCACTGGGGCCTTCGGTGGAGCTCCCTATGGAGCCACGAAACGTGTGAGGGGTGTGCCGAAATTGTGTGGGTGACGCATGCGGCCGCGGGCACTGGGGCCTTCGGTGGAGCTCCCTATGGAGCCACGAAACGTGTGAGGGGTGTGCCGAAATGGGTGTGGGAGACGCATGCGGCCGCGGGCACTGGGGCCTTCGGTGGAGGGAGCCACGAAACGTGTGAGGGGTGTGCCGACGCATGCGGCCGCGGGCACTGGGGCCTTCGGTCCCTATGGAGCCACGAAGCGTGTGAGGGGTGTGCCGAAATGACACCCCCAGTGGGACCTTCGGTGGAGCTCCCCATGGGGCCACGAAACGTTGTCCTGGGTGGGGGAGACGCATGCGAACACCCCTACTGGACCTTAGGTGGAGCTCCCTATGGGGCCACGAAACGCTGTCCTGGGTGGGGGAGACGCATGCGAACACCCCCACTTGGGCCTTCGGTGGAGCTCCCTATGGGGCCACGAAACGCTGTCCTGAGTGGGGGAGACGCATGCGAACACCCTTATTGGGACCTTCGGTGGAGCTCCCGATGGGGCCACGAAACGCTGTCCTGGGTGGGGGAGACGCATGCGAACACCCCTGCTGGGACCTTCGGTGGAGCTCCCTATGGGGCCACGAAACGCTGTCCTGCGTGGGGGAGACGCATGCGAACATCCCTATTGGGACCTTCGGTGGAGCTCCCTACGGGCCACGAAACAATGTCCTGGGTGGGAGAGACGCATGCGAACACCCCCACTTGGGCCTTCGGTGGAGCTCCCTATGGGGCCACGAAACGCTGTCCTGGGTGGGGGAGACGCATGCGAACACCCCCAGTGGGACCTTCGGTGGAGCTCCCTATGGGGCCACGAAACGCTGTCCTGGGTGGGGGAGACGCATGCGAACACCCCTACTGGGACCTTCGGTGGAGCTCCCTATGTATGGGGCCACGAAACGCTGTCCTGCGTGGGGGAGACGCATGCGAACACCCTTGTTGGGACCTTCAGTGGAGCTCCCTATGGGGCCACGAAACGCTGTCCTGGGTGGGGGAGACGCATGCGAACGCCCCCAGTGGGACCTTCGGTGGAGCTCCCTATGGGGCCACGAAACGTGTGAGGGGTGTGACGACATGGGCGGTGGGGACGATGATGAAGACGATGATGAGGATGAGGATGTGGATGAGGATGATGCTGCAGATGATCATTCTGACGGAAGAGAGAAGAGGAGGGGGAGGAGGGAGGAGGGGGAGGAGGAAGGAGGAGAGGAACGCGGGGCACCGTCTCTTCAAAACGAGGACCCAACACCACAGGATGGTTGGGAAAAACCGATACCCCCCCACCTGCCCTCCACCTGGCCTTCGCCCCCCCTCGACATCCCCAGGCCTCCGGGCTCTGTTCTTCAGACCCCCGGCCCCACGATTTCTCGCCTCAAAGCGACAGATACCCCCCACCTGGCCTCCACCTGGCCTCCACCCCCCCTCGACATCCCCAGGCCTCTGGGCTCTGTTCTTGGGACCTCCGACCCCACGATTTCTCGCCCCAAAACGACCGATACCCCCCACCTGGCCTCCACCCCCCCCCCCCTGGCCTCCACCCCCCCGAATCGGGCAACAAGGGGGGTTCCAGCTTCGCCGAGACTGGCAACAAGTAGGGTCAGTCTTCCCGAGTGTTCATCTGACTAGGGACACAACGTTGTCCAATGAACCATCGGCGACAACATTGACAGGACATCTTTGAGCCCAGAAAGAGAAGATCTCGAGCGAAGTTGGTTCAACCACATCAGGTGTGGGCTTCCCCGAAAACGCAATCCCGACGATGTCCCAGGGGTCCACGGCAGCTCCAAACCATCAGTCCACGCCAAGTACAAACCCAAACCTAATTTTCCCCTTCTGGGATGGGGTCCTGACTGCTGTTCGATAAGACTTGCCACGTTGCCCAATCCACCGACCACTCACCCAAGTCACTGCCACCCCCCACAAATCCAACCAACAACAAATTAACATACCCCCAACAACACCCCGACAACAAACAAACCAAACATACGTCGCTCAATTGGGGTCGGCGGCAGAGGCGGCAGCCTTTAAGATAATTGAGCTAAGCAGCTGGAGCTCGTCAAAGATGACACAAAAGAAATTGACCCTCTCGCGCGCCGGGCCTGTCTGGAGAGCGACTTCATGTGCTTGGATATCTCCTGAGGGACCGTGTGGCGGTGATCCCTCCTGCTCGTCCATTCTGCTTTTCCCCGTACTCCTCGCTCTCCTGCTCCGTCTCGTCACACTCTAGAGGCCCAATGCCACACATCCGACGTAAAAAAAACGCGGCCCAAAAACCTCCCGATCCCTACCCAGGGACATTCTTAGACATTCTTACTCGTCACGCACCGTTTCTTTGACGGTCCCGCGGGGACCGCCATGGGCCCGCAGAGGCCGAAACTTGCCATCGCTTGGACATCCATTCCCCGTGCATTTTTCAGTATCGTGCGTGCTTTTCTCAAGTTGATCCAGCATGCTCCTCGATTGCCTCCGTCGAGAAAAAATTGCACACGTCCGAGCGATATCAAGGATGCCGAAGAGAAGCGCCGGCCTTCGTTGGTTTCCCCGTCGCCTCCCGGCGCTGGAGGCGGCCACGTGCCGAGGGGAAAGGGGCCCTGCGGCGGAGCTGAAACCAGCGTTAGGTCGGTCCTGTCCCCCTACAGGCGGATGTTGGACAAAATGAAAAGAATCAAACTATGTCCAATAATATATCAAAAGTACTCAATAATCGTCCCCTGACTTTTTTTGACTATTTTGAATTTTCCTCCTGTAGAGGGACAGGCCCGACTTAAAACCAGCGGCACGCGGCAGATCTCGCACCCACCCGCCCCTTCGCCATGCCCGCCCCCATGTAGCCTGACCCGAGCTGCCGCCGACGATGCCTCCCGGCTGCCTCCCCAGCCCCGAGGCAGCCCCGCCTCCCCTGACCCCTCCGCCTACTCACCCCCGCCCTGGGGCTCCCCTTCCTCCCTGCCGTCGTGCGCCCTCCCGCTCCTCCTCCGGCCCCTCCTTCAGCCCCTCCTCGGCCCTCCGTCGCCCCCCCTCGCTCGCACCCCCAGCCCGCGGGCGAGTGGGAGGCTCGGGATGGGGGCTGCCCCCCCCGCCCCCGGCACGTGCCTCCCACTCGCCCTGCCCCGCCCCGCTCGCCCTGCCGTCCTCTGTGCCTGGTGGCCCTGCCCTCGCGAGAAGGTCGCGCTCGGCCTTCGGCGGCCTTCACCGGGCTCGCCGACTTAAAATGCACCACATCGGGGGCCCCGGTCGCCTTTCCTTGAGGAGCACGAGCAGTAACAAGCAAACTTTGGGAGGTCCGCGTGGAGTTCTTGGGTCGGCGCTGGGCCCTCCTTCTTGGCGCGCTGAGCGCGACAAGGGCGGCGCCGGAGGCGCCGCCAGGGGGATGCCAACACCGACCCAAGGAATCCGCGCGGACCCCCAAAAAGATGGGGTTGCGTATTCTTCTGATCTTCGGTTTCTGCCCCCTCCCTCCGCGGAGGGCAACGTTAGGAGGGGGCCAGCTCGGGGGGAGACGGCATCGACCTGGAATCGGCGATGCATCGCCGATAGGTCTGCGATGGGCCCCCGATAACAAATCCGCACGGTATGTACTTGGCCAGATTGGGCTATCGGGCGGAGATCGGCGATCAGTGGGCGATTGGGAGTCGATGTCCCCCCCTGAACTTATCCCCTCTAACGTTGCCCCTGATCCTCCCCCCCTGCTACACGTCACGCACCACCCAAACGCACCGCGTCCCGCAACGCGGCTGGAGCAGTCGCTGACGTTTTTTTTTTTTTTTTTTTTTTTTTTTTTCTCCTCGCGTCGACCACGGTGGCTGGATGCTTCGACAACTTCGCATGGCCACTGCCCCCGGACATGGAGGGAAGCCGGGCTGCGTGGGCAGCCGACCACCAAAGAATACGGAGACGCTATCAGGCACGTGGCAGGGACAGCGAAAGAGCACCCGAGACAATTATTGCCCGGGGGCCAGGGCGGAAATGTTACTTAAGACCGGGTTTTTCGAAGGCACGAGAAGGAGGGGGAGGAGGAGGCGGAGGAGGAGGAGGAGGAGGAGAAGGAAGGAGAGCACAGAGCAAAGCCCTGAGGGTCATCGCCAGCCGACTCCTGTGAGTCTGGGCGCCCCGCTGACCAGAAGAAGGCGTGCTCCCAAGGTGTCGCGCTCATTGGCGAGTCAGTACATTACACGCGGGAAGAAATGTGATGGGCAGCGACCACGGACGACAACGACGAGGAGCGGAGGAGAGGAGGGGGGAACTAACTCAGCTTTGCCACACTGCGGCCACGAGCGATGCGAGGCGAGGATGCGCAGCACAAGCTTCCCTAGCGTACTGCCACATGGCCTCCCACGCGTTGGAGGTGGCCCCGTGGCGCGCCGCTGTGGATGCCGCGTAAACGCAATACACCGCCAGGGCACGGCGAGCGATAGCGCTCGCCGTGTCTTCGGAAAAACGGGGGGAGAGGAGCAGAAAGTGAGACAAGCGCTCGCCGGGTGGAGGGGCAGTCAGCGCCAGCTGCCTGCGCCCGAACTCCGCGACCCTGGAGCAGTGGATGTAGTGCTCGACGCTGTCCTCCCCGTGTCCGCATGCAAACGCGCAAGGCGCTGGCCTCTGCATGCGGCGCCCTGTAGTCCAGCCGTTGCACATGACGCGGTAGACCGATGCCCACACCCGCGGGGGCACCAGCGGCGCCAGGCCGCGGAGCGCGAGCGTCGCGCGCTCCAAGCGGCGCCCACGGAGCACCGGGAGTTGGAGACGAGAAAGGCAGCGGTCGAGGTGGCGGACGGCGCCCTGCGGGCGCGGGTCCGCCAATATAATCCGACACCGCTTCTGCCATTCAGACCTCGGCGCTGGTTCCGGCGCGTCGCCCTGAACCAATGCCTCGACCGACACTCTGGCTGCTGCTGCCTTGTGTTCCAGATGGCCGCGCGCGTTTGTGAGGTTCGTGAAGAAATTCTGGCCGTACCAGCCGCTCCAGGCAACCAAACGATCCAAATGGTCAGAATCCAGTCGGAGTGCGTCCAAAAAACGAGAACGACGACGTACCTGAAGTCCTCCATGAGCTGTGTTCTCCCATCGATATACCCGGCACTTGGCCGCGATCGCCACGGATGCTGCGTCGACCAATTCCGCGTGAAACCCCAAGGGCCGCAAGCTCCGGAGCGCCGCTGGGGTAGTCCAGCAGCGGGGGCCGGGGAAGAGGAGGACGCATGCCTGCTGCTCCACAACGTCCCAATTGGACGGCAACTGGTCCAGCTGCAGGAGGAAGGAGAGCACGGGGAAGATGTAGGTGCGGTAAGCCAAGAGGGCCAGCATCATTCCGCAGCCGATGCCCCGCCACACCTTGGCCCGGGAAATGAACTTGTCCAAAGCCTTTGTCCACGAATGTTCACCGCGTTCCGGACCGACGACGAAGCCCAAGTAAGTTGCGTACCGGCGGATGGTGAAGTCGCTCCACGTGGGCGCGGCCACTTGGAGACGCTCTCTCACGCGGTCGGTTGATTCCAGTGCCAATGGAACCCAAACCGTTTTTCCGTGGTGTAGTCGCAGCCCCGACAGTCGCTCGCCTCGTCGAAGGTGTGCTCAAGAATGGAAGCGTCCCCCGTCCCGCGAACCAGGCCGACGGCCAGGTCGTCGGCGTAGGCGCGAGGAACGGCGTCTGGGATGAGGCGCGGGAGCCTCCGCAAAAGAACATCCGAAAGCACGGCGAAGAGGAGCGGGGAGAGGGGGCAGCCCTGGCGGACCCCCGCGGTGAGCTCGAAGCCGTCGAAAGTGGACCCGCCGTGCGCGATGCGGCACCTGTTGTTCCGATACAGCGCTTGGATGAAATGCACGCACCATGGCGGCCAACCCCGGGCCGCGATGACATCAAGAAGGAACTCCTGGCTGACGCTCGGGAAGGCCGCCTCGAAATCGAAGAAGACCATGGCGGACGAGTCGTACTTAAGCGAGTGGTGGAGCATGAACTCTTCGACGTCCATGAGGTTTGCAAGCATCGAGCGCCCATGCAGGAACCCCCGCTGGCAATCGGAGACCCCGGGGGCAACGGTGGGCTCAATGTACATGCGGACCGCGCTGCATATAATTCTGTTGTCTGTATTCGTGATGTTCAAGGGCCGCATGTTCGAGGGGACATAGAACTCGATGCCGTCTCCAGTAATGCCTGATGGCTTCTTGGGGAGGAAGACCATGGAGCTCTCATTGAACGAGTCCCAGTCCGAGTCCATCAGCGCCGCGCCACTGGGGCTGGCGATGGCCAGGAAGGCCTCGTACAGAGCTCTCGTCGCGAAGCCGCCTAAAGCACGCCATGCGCGGAACGGGATCCCATCTGGTCCAGGAGAGCTGTTGCTCGTGTGCTGGACCGCCCGCTCGAAGGTCTCGAAGGGCACGGCGACGCCGGGCACGCACTGGCGGTCTGCCAGCGAGGCGTGCGAGGCCTCGTCTGCAAGCCAGGTGCGGCGCAAGGTTGTGTCCGTTTCCCGTCTGCGGAAGACCCCAGACCAATGGTCGCGCAGAACTCCTGCGATGTGCTCTGGTGATGTGCTCACGTGGCCAGCGCTGTCACTGAACGCGTAGTGGGAGCAGCCGCGGCCAGGAGACAAGCGTGTAAGAAGACGATGGTTCTGATGTCGCCGCCGCGCCGCCTGCGCATCAGAGAGGTCCTTCAAGTCGGCGTGGAGCCTGCCCAGCTCGTCGATGGCGTGATCGCGAGCAAGGTCGGCAGCGTGAACTCGGACCAGCCGGAGGCGACGGCCAGGGCTCGTGTGGAAGTCGTAAGGGTTGTCCACGAGATCCTTCAAGATGGGATACCGCTGGATGCATTGGCTGACGCCGCCTGCCGAGCCCTTTTCTGAGGCGCGGAGGAATTTCACGGTGACCCCGAGGCGATCCTCGTGCGCAAGCGGGCCCGGCGGACCCGAAGCCTCGAAGCCGAAGTTCTCGGCGGCCTCGCGCATGGCCCGCTTGAGTAGCACGAGCCGCCGTGGAGGCGAGGCGGAAGGTTCGCTGTCCAGCATCTCCTGCCACGCGAGCGCCACTCTGCGCGGCCATTCGGGGTGATCCAATGTGAGGTCCGATATCGGGGCGCATGAGTCGGGTTCCCGCTGCGGCAGTGAACGCCGAAAGCTGACGGCTCTATGTCGAGATAGCT